TTATATTAATTAACCAAATTAAGCAAAAATAAGTGTAACAAAGAATAATTGTTTTATTGATGATAAAAATAAAATACACATTTAAAACCAACTAAAAGATGGAGTTGTTTTTCCGATTGGTGGCGAGTCAACAATTAAACTTTTATATTTAACAATGATAAAAATTAAAGAAACAAGATGAAAACACACAAAAGTATAAAAAATACAAAATATTGTAAAAAATTTTAATTGATAATTTACTTGAAAATTCAAAAACTTTGATGTAGTTAATTTTGATATATTATAGCTTCTTTAATTTTTGGTTAATTGTTCCATTTGTGTCTATCTTGCAAGTATCACATACTTTTGTAGTGTGGAAGGATGATTAGAATTTGCGTACTAATCGCAAGTTGAAAATATTATTGTAGAAGATGGTATTTGTAAAACATCGGAAACAAGTAACAGTCAATACAAAATACACATGCAAAAGATAATCCAAAATAAAAATATTTCAAATATCCCCAATAAGTAGTTTGTGGAATGTAAGTGGCAAATTGGAAATCCAAGCAACCATCACTCAGTTTGGGGCTTTTGTTAATTTAAATCTTATTTGTTTGCCTTGAGAAAATAACGAAAAACATATCTATTAATACCAAAACTTATCAACCGCCGGAAATTTCAAGGATAACGATTGGATGAATCTAATATAGGAGGGGGTATGGGGAAAACACCAAAAGGATTAGATCCCAGCTTTTCCATTTTCTATAATCAAGATTAATGTTTACAATTTTTCCTACCTAAGGCAATGACTTGTGTAGGTGTGGTGGTCAGGCTATGTTTGGGGTCTCCTTGAAGGACGAAGGAAGATTGGGTGTAGATTTAGGGTTTGGAGATTAGGGTAAATGAAAGTGATAAAGGAGCAGGATAGGAAGATTGGATGATTCGAATGGTGATCTCTCGTCATGGGATGGATTCATTTATAAGGAGGGATCCTGAGGTCCTGAAAGGAAGGCATTGAAAGAGTTTGATTCCCATTAGGAAAGGAAATATTGGATTCGGTGTTGGTCATTAAGGAGCACTGCTAGAGTTTTACCACGTATCTTATCAGATCTCTCAATGACTGACTTTCCTTTCGTCCGCAGATTCTCATAATCCACATGTGCTACTTCCTTTCGTGACCTATTTAACCGTCGTAGCGCTGGTGACGTCATTGTATAACGAGGCGTGTTCTTTTACTAAACCTACGTAATGCCTTATCACGTGCATAACTCAAAATTGCATGTGTAGCCAATATTTAACTTCGGTTCATAGCGATCCGCGGTTCTGTAATGGTCTCGGGTTCATCGCAAGACTGCGCACCTCCGAGGTTCATCGAAACTGCGTGTATCCAATGTTTGTCGTAGAACTACACTCATCAAGGTTTATCACATGTTTACGCTAACTAAAATCGGTCTTGAATCATGTCGAATACAAGTTCATCAAGAACATGCAATGTATCATATGTTCATCGTAAACGTTCGATGAGTTATAAGCTCATCGCAGGTAACTAATGAATTATGGACTCATCAAAAGTGTCCATATGGTATCTGTTTGGTATCTATTTAGTATCTTATTTACTTTGACGAACTGAGCGAGCACTATGTACCTAAAACTTGTAATCTTGTATACTTAGATTCATATGTTTTTTGTTAATTTTTCAGAGTAAACTGATTTTGTGAATTTTTCCAACTCTTTTTTCTGAAGCTAATTGCCTCGTAAATCATTTGGAACTGTATAGTACTTTGTAATTTTAAATCCATATTTAAAGAACTGGAACCCATGAGTGCAGAGGTGGACCTAGAAAATTTTCCTTTGGGGCCAAGACTAAACAAAATCTTCTAAAAATCGTTGTTGAATATAATGCTTTCAATGCTTCAGCATCTTCTTCCCCCTCAAACATGTAGTTACCTCACCAGTCACCATAATTTCTGAATTTTAGATATGTAGAATGCAGTTACCTCGAACATTCGTTGATTTGAGACCTATTTTTTATCAGTTTAAAAACATGACTAATTCATTTATAGATTTTGAAATTTGCCGCACAAAGATTGGTTACAGACTTGATAGACTTGATGGTGAATAAATTTATTTCCATTTAGAAGTCAAAAGGCAAAAGTATATGGATTAGATTACAGATGAGGGTCGTTGGTTATTGGTTGATACAATGATAAAATATAGGTGTCGTTTGCTTTTTAGGAAGTTACTTACACGGGTAAGTGCATTTACCCATGTTCTTTTATTTCCCAAGTAAATAAGACAATAATCATTTTAGTCATAAAAAACCATTAATTTAAAGGGACATTTTTGTCCCATCCAAGTTTGGGCAAATTTTCCCCCACCCATGAATATCACTTTACTTGGGTAAGTGATATTTAGAGAGAGAATTTTCTATGGGCCCCATATAAATCTGAAAAAAGAACATGGGTATCTTGGTCAATGGGAACCAAAACCCCGTTGACCAACTTTCCCCCCTCTGAAAATCCAAAAAACAAACAGGCCCATAGGTTTTGGGTCTGAGTTTAAGTTTAAGAACAAACACTTGTGCAAGAAAATTTTGAAGGTTAGGAATTATAATCCATATCCAGTCTACCCCTCCCAACACTCATGCCCTAAATATCTTGGAATAACATTGGGTAATGGCCCTTTATCATTTTCACTATATGTTATCGAGTTATTGACATGCTTTATTGTCAATACCCTCTTCTGATGCTAAGGTTAGTTAGTGCTTTGCATTGGTATAGACACTTCCCCTTTTGTTGATCCTTTCACTGAACAAACTAGGAAGGAAGAGAAAGGAAAAAGACTTGCACCATACCTCTTCCTTTTGGGAGTACTTATGTTAAAAATAAGTACACAAGTGCTTATTCAAATAAGCACTTATTTGTAATTGGCACCCAACCTTTTCAAGTGCTTATTTTAAAAGAATAAAAACTTATTCATATTGGACATTTAATAGTCTTTTTCTCCAATAAGCACTTGTGACTATTTAGTCTTTCATTTTCTTTCGAATTTTCAAAATATACCTTATAGGTGGTGGGCTCTCTCTCTCTCTCTCTCAAATTCTCAAAAGCCCTTTTGAATTCCGCCTTCATGTCTGCTTTCCTCAAAGCAACTAGCAAATCATTGCAGAAGAGTGCATTAAGAGTGACACCATTCTCACCCCCTCAGAAGCTTGTAAAACATAGAAAAGAGCAATGCCCAACTGGTTTTTTCTAAGCAACGCAACAATAACAAAGTTATAAATGTGGGGATTCAAGCGAGTTCCTTGTTCTTCCATGAGATCCAATATTTCAATAGTCGAATCAAAACTACATGATCAGATAGAAAGTTGCAGAACCAACAACACCATCCCCCTTCATCAAAGACAATAGAGAACGGAGTTTGTCAAGATGCCCAATTTGACAATCTGGCTGAAAGATCTAAGAGTAGATACGGGAAGAGTGTACGTAGCCAGGCCTGCAAGAAGCCCATCTAAAAAAATCGATCTTCTTCCAGACGTTGGAAGTTTATTAGGAGGACTTGGAGGAAGAGAGATTTACAGAGAGGGATGAAATCACCGTCGAGGTTCCAAGTGTTGAACTCAGAGAGAGTTTTGGAGACATGTCACGAGGAGGTTTTCAATTCGGGATGTCTTCTGACGAGAGCAGAAAAAAAAGTGTTATTCCATGGCGCATTGCAGATAAAGCTTTACATCGTGCAATGGATAGAACTGAGTCAAGATGAGAAGAAACTCGTTTTTACATTCAAAGGGCATAAATGAAATTGTAAAAATTAAATGGGAACAATTTTGATAGAAAAAATCAAACAAGTGCTTATTGTTTAAGCACTTAAAAAAAAAAACTAGAAATTTGGGTTTAAAAATAAGTCCTTGTTTTTAAAATAAGCACTTATTTCAGGCATATCCTAACACCAATAAGTGCTTAATAGTGTAATCCCCACCCAAACAAGCACTTATTTTTAAGCACTCCTAGACATGGCCCATTCACATTCCATATTTCAGTTTAGGATCCGGTGAGAGCCCCATAAACGAACTCCAACTAGAATCCACCATAAACGAACTCCAACAGAATCCACACCGGCTCCTCCAACGCATATAAGATATGCAAAAGAAAACAGTAGAAGTGTAAATAGGGTTGTGCAGAGCACGATGGTTTATGGGCCATTCCGGACACAGCATGACTGTATGGGCCGTGCCATGCTTGGGGTTTTAGGTCTACGGGCAAGCCAGCACGACCCATATATATTTATATATAATATATAATATATTATACAAATTTTAATTATATAATAACATATAATATATAATATATTAATAAAATAAACAATTAATTTCAATTTTATTATACTATTTTATTTAATTATTATATATATAAACAATTGTATACATCAAAATTCATATAAAATAAAAATTTTAAGATTTTTTAATTTTTGAATAAATAGCTTAGGCTTGATCCACGGCCTGACCTGGCCTAAGGCTTGGCCCACAAACCATCCCAGCCCATCGACACGAGCTCGGGCCGTGGGCCATGCCAGGCCAACCCCCAAAATATCCCAGGAGGGAGGCACGGCCCAGCAGGGCCCATTTTACAGCTCTAGAAAATAGCACACTGAACGATATTAGGTTTCCATTGACAGAGAATTGTATAACAGAATTGAAACTCCTATTATGAACAATTTGCATTGATCTTAAATTCTGTCCATATGGATGAAACCCTGAATACAATCACCCCAATCCTGTATAGGCGAGGTTAAATCCAGTCTACAGGGTTTAAGCCATCTACGGGTTTGAACTAGAGCGAATCCTGGTTCTATTATAAGATAAGCAAGTTGCAAAATGATTTGATCCTAGCCTTCAATCTACATGCAACGTGCTAGAAATTAGAATAGGCAAGGGTATAGGATATAGCTTCCTTACTTGACGAGCTTGCAGCCTCTTCCCTATATTAGCTTTACGGTCGGTCAGATTTCTAGTAGACAGTGTATGTTATCCAGGTTAAAAACAGTATAATGACTGTAATTTGTATAACACTAATGAAGTAAATAGAAAAAGAGGACTCCCCATGACTTACAGACATTAACTTGCAAGTTCCCCATGACATTTTAAACAATCTGCGGCTTTCATTCTCTTTATATACAAGTAGCCGTTACTATGCACCCGAAAACAAAGTAAAAGAAACAAAAAGGGAATAGAGAGAAGGAAAACTTACAAATGTGTGTGGTTATGAACAGATGGGGAATGGGTTTACTGATTAAACCCATGGATCATCCTCTATGATCCTGGTATAGTGCAAACATATTCATGGGGGCGTAATATACAAGGTGTGTAAAACCAGATCTAGGCATCTGAGAAACCACCAAAGAGGAAAAGAGAAGTGTTCACATGGCGAGCGTCAGGTAAGAGCTGCTCTGTTTTTGAAACAGGCTTCACAGTCTGTTCCTTGTTGGAGAATGGGAAAGCAAGAGAAAGAGACAGAGATGCTGAGACATCATCATCATTGTTATTCGTCACAGGATCTGGAAATTTGTCTCTGTTGTTTCTCTTGTCTGCTATCCCAACAAGCCATGGGAAGATTGCCTGCTTCCGTGGTCTCTTTTCAGCCCCTAGTGCAAGCTCCAGATTTGGGACTTCAGATCCCATTATATCCTCGTTGGTTGATGAAAGTACTTGCAATGGCTCCAAGGTGCCTCTTGATTTACAGTCCTTTGCAGGTCCCAAATCTATGGGAAAGAAGTGCCTTTCAGTAGCCCTCAAGTTCTCCACAGCCTCATAAGATCCATTGAATTGTTGTTGTTGCTGTTGCTGCTGCTCAGTGATAGAGAAGCCAGTACCCATGTCACATACCTGGGGCAGAAATTTCTCACTGAAAGAACTTTGATCACTAGAACTATTACAATCATACACTACACTTGAACATCTCTTTGTCTTCTTCAGTTCACTTTCTCCATTAGTTATCATACATTCCTTCTCCATCCATGTGGTTTCTTGACTTCTGGAGCTCAAGGTTTCACCAGGAACTTGTGGAATCATGAGTGCAGAATTCATGTGTAGCTGTTTCTTGCTGTTGAACTCCCAGCCACCGTGTTCTTTGTCCTTCTGGTCACTCTGAATCTCACTCTTCAAAGTAGTTTTAATGTCCATGAAGCACTCTTCACTCTTCATTTTTTTCTGAACTCTCACTTCATCTTTGATTCCATCCTGCATTTTATCCTGGATCTTTTCTTCATCTTTCACCCTTAAACCACCTAAACCTTGAGCAGATGTAGCAAATGGAGGTGTTTTGCAAGAACAAGATGAACTATTCTCCCTATCTAGTGAATTATCCAAGTGCATTGGCACCATTTTACCCTTATAAAGATTACCATTCTGTCTAGTTGCTGGAAGACAGGATTGAACCTTCACTTCCTGCCCACCCTCTAAATCTGTCTGTTCTTTCTACAGGCAAAAGCAAACAAATACCCATTAGAAAGTGTTGTTCATGACAAAGTCCTTCATGCTTGAAGTAAAGCTCAAGAAGAAATTTAATTTGACAAAATACACGACTTTGTAAAAAGCTGCGAAATTGGGAGAATTGTTTATAAGAAGATCCTAAATACTGAAGCATGATCTATCATGGTGTACATTAAACACAGTTTTAGGCTGCCACAGAGACAGATTCAACAAGCTCATAACTGACCAAATACTACTTGTTACATGCAGATAGATGACCGAAATAAATGCCCTACATAGTTTCTAAATATAAACACTACAGTACATATAATAATAATAATAATAATAACAATAATAAATCTTTTAGTATTTAGCCACCAAGATTTTTTTTGTTATCTCCATAAAAAAACAATTTCATACAGGCATTCAAACTAAAGAAAAGGGAAATAAAATTTTACCAGGGTATTGCTGTTGACTTTCTTTTCTGTTGACAATTGCACATTAATAATAGGAAGCCTTGACAAAGGATCACTATCAAGTCCATTACCATGCTGATTAAAATTGGTCTGTGAACTTAAATTCTTGTAATCAATAGAAGACATATTACTGTCACAATTGCCATTGCCATTCAGTTTTCCAGAAGATGATATAAATGGCAATTCCATCGAGGCCATGGATTTGGATACTTCCATCCCACTAGATGATCCAGTAAAAGCAGGCATGACACTAGGCAGAGGATTTGGATCCTCTTTATGACCAGGCAAATATACTTTTTGAGATACAGACGTGACACCAGCTGCAAAACCTTGGTAAGCAATTGTGACATCTGGATTGCTTCTAGAAACCTTCTTTTGAGCGCCTAGTATCTGTTCTGAGCAATTTGACCTCCTTCCTCTAAAAACGCCCCAGAGGAAAAATAACATGTTCCAACCTGCCAAACCATGCATTTTTAGTACAAATAGAAGTTCCACACAAACTCATGCAACAAAAGGAAAAAGGTTACATGTCATGAAAGGTAAAGACTAGAGTTAAAAACAGGGAAACCCAAAAATTTCATTTTCTGAAGGAAAAACTGTGCCATAAGAGGAAAAATATGCATGTGACAGCCTCTACCCTAAAAAATGATATTGTTTTTTCAATGACAGTAAAAGTACATTGTCATCAGTTCTTACGCTGGGATTTTTCCGGTAACTGATTTGATGGGAATATCAGAAGTTCAATTCCATTAAAGTTTCCTTTCAGAGCTAAATCATTCTTGATCATCTTATCCAACAAGCCCTTGTAGTATCGTTCATAGCTGTGACATGTTAAAACAAAATCAAATTAAGCCAAATACACAAGACCACGGATAACTGGCACCAAAATTAGGTAATAAGCCCTCTATCAGTATGAAAGACATTATATAATAAACAAAAAAAAGACTATTAAAACTGACCTCTCAAGATCTTTGGCAAAGAAATAGAGAGCAACATTATCTTCTGTGGCACGATTTTCATCAAATTGTCTTGGCCATGTACTCAAGCGGGGTACCTCCTCCAACAGCACTTTGCGAGGTAACTTTTTAACCACCTCAGGAATTTTAGGTGATGCACAAGTTGATAAATATGCCTGAATTCCATCACAAAGGTCGGCAAGTATTCCACTTCTTTGCACCTCAAAACCACCTCTGCATGCAAACACCTCATCATCAGATATATTCTACAAAGTATGAAAGGTTGTCAAACCTGGCAAAAATTTGAATTTCAGTGAGAAAAGGATCATACTGCCATATATAATCATGTTCTGGAATGGCTGAAATCCTTGAGGGAATGGCCACAGAAGATTCTACACGAGGAAGGTCTGTAATGGAAGAACTCGGCTTATTTTCATCCAAAGAGATGGGAGAAATGGTGACATCTGACGCTCCTCGAGGAGAACATGTTGCTTCTGTTGACTTTAAAATATCCTGCTTTAAATTGTTGACAGTAGTAGTTTTACTGATGTCAGCAGCAGAACTCCTGACAATTTCTTGTCCATCATCATTAGTCACTTCACCAGAATTCAAATTCCTCGAGCAATTNNATGTAGTTGGTAATTGATCTTTAGAAACTTCACAGCTCAAATCAGCACTTGACATGGATAACTCATCCAACTGTTCAGACAACCTATTCCTTCTAGACATTCCAGGTGATTTCAACGTTACAGCTTTAACTGCAGTTTTACTGATGTCAGCAGCAGAACTCCTGACAATTTCTTGTCCATCATTAGTCACTTCACCAGAATTCAAATTCCTTGAGCAATTCGATGTAGTTGGTAATTGATCTTTAGAAACTTCACAGCTCAAATCAGCACTTGACATGGATAACTCATCCAACTGTTCAGACAACCT